CTTCTATATGTTTTCGCGGACACTCCTCCTTGGATGGCCTCCTGGGGGACTGACGAAACGTGCTTGGGGGCTTCTTCCGAACTTCTGGGACCTCCTGGACGCTTTTGGGGGCCTCTGGGGGCTTTCTTTGGCCACCTTGCTGCGAACCACGGCTTCCGTCATAGGCCGGGTCACGATTTGGAGTGCTTCGGAGGGCGGCCTGTAGTCGGTCTGGGCAGTCTGAGGGCTCTCTTCGTGCCATCTCGGGGCCCTCTTGGGCCGTCTTGGGGCTCACAGACACTGTCGGCAGGCCCTTTCGGGTCGTTGCGGGGCGATTTTCAAGGTCCCGTGGACGGTCTCGAACGCGCGGAAGACAGAAGAAGTGAGCATCCACGAATCGCGCACGAGCCGAAAGGGAATCCTTTTTTGTTGCGTTCGGAAGGGCTCTCGGGAGTTCTCTGGGCCGTCTTCGGGCGTCTGGTGGGTGTCCCTGGCGCGAGGAACGCGCCAGGGGCGGCGCTGGAGGCGCCGCCAGGGGGGGGGGGTCCAGCGCCGTTCCGAGAAATCCGCGCGGACCTCCGAGTTTTTATGTGTATGCCACTTGTTGTTCCCCGATCCTCTGTCCTCTGCCTCATCTCCCTCTCCCTCCCCCCCTTTCCTCCTCCTCCTCCTCCTCTCCCTCCCCCCCTCTCCTCCCTGTCCTCCTCCCTCGCCTCGGGCCGAGGGGCACGGTTGTCGCCCTCCCCCCCCCCTCCTGCTGAGGCCGGTCGGGCCTCCCGCGGGAACGTTTGGCCACCCTCCTGACCGCTCCGGGCTCAGCCTCGCGGGCCAGCAGAGGGGGCCCAGAGAGCGCAGAAGGCCGAGGGAGCACCCTGCACAGGGGGCGTCTAAGGGGCCACTCCCTCCCTCCCTCCTCCCTCCTCCCTCCTCCCTCCTCCCCCCTCCCCGTCCTCCCCCCCGCTCCTTATCTCCTCCCTCCTCCTCTCTCTCTCTCCTCCTCCTCCTCCTCCTCCTCCTCCTCCTCTTCTCCCCTCCTCCTCTCTCCTCCTCCCTCCTCCTCCTCCGCCTCCTCCTCCTCCTCCCCCTCCTCCCTCCTCCCCCCTCTCCCCCCTCCCATCCCTCCCATTATCCTCCCTCCTTCCTCCTCCTCCTCCTCCTCCTCCTCCTCCACCTCCTCCTCCGCCTCTGCCTCCGCCTCACCCCGCGATTTGCCCGCGACCCGCCCGCGACGCACCCGCGACCCACCTCGCCCGCGACCCACCCGCGAGCTCGCCCGCCCCCTCATATTTATCCGCAACTGCGGTGCGCCAAGTCTCCATGTACCTCTGTGTACACCTTTACATGTGTATCCGGCTGTCGATGCATATGCGCATATATGCGTACGTATGTGTGTACATGTGAATGTGTGTATAGTTTCTTGTAGCACGTATACCCGTGTGCACGCATCGTTGCACGTGTGCTGGCCTTTTGATGCGTGATTATGTGTGCTCGTGCACGTGTCAAGTAGAGGTCAGGCGTATGCGTGTGTCTATCAATGCGCATACGTGTTTTCATAGATTCACGCATGCATGCGTATGGGACTACTTATGTACACGTGTAAGCGCAAGTTGACATGCATGCTTATCTTACATTAAGGACACGCATGCACATACATGGGTGATCATGTGGGTATGTATGTGTAAAAGGAATGCCCATATGTATGCGGTTGGTTGCAACTGTATTGATTGTGTACTTGTACGTATGTACATGAGCATACGCGCATATGAATATATGCATATATACGCATAAGTATAAACACAACTGTAGGAAATTATATACATATGTGCAAATGAATATATGCATATACGCAAGGTAATATCTGTATGCTGGGCCGCGCATGCTCCTACAGCTTGTGCGCACGCACGCATGAACACTTGCACAACATGTATGTGTGATGTGTGAGATCTTTGTCCAACGTTGCATGCTTGCATATATACTTCAAGTGCACATGCATGCCTGTACGCATGTACAACCGTTGCTTCTGACATGAATATATGGATTGATATGTGCGCGTGTGTTTGCAACTGTAAATATACACTTACACATGTTTGTTTAAGTGTGTACGCGTGGTTTTGCGTTTCCAGATGCATGCGCAAATCTGTAAATACGCCTACATTCTTAAATATCTTTGTTTGCATACGCAACCATACAGACATATTCACACGTATGCGCACATTCGTGTTTGCATATATACAAGCGTGTACCCATATGGACATATATATCCATATTACCGTGTATACACATATTGTATACTTTCGTATTATATGTGCACGCATACACTGATACATACTAGAAATAAAAGTACACACGCTTGGTTACTCATTGCATACACATTCGAACACACTCGCTTACACATGTTGATACGCATGCCTTCTGTTTATTTTTGTAAATACGAATGCCTTTTTTCCACTACCACGTTTACACATACATATTGTATACCATTGTTGAAAAACCGCATGGTGACATATACATAATATACCAACATGTACGCGCATACATGTACACATTGCACATCCAATAAAACACATGCAAGTGCATGGCATAACCATATGCATGTTTCTATTCATGTGAATCTATGAATGCACATCTCTATTTCTTTATACAGTGTTCACGTGTGTATAACATATTTATGTGTGTGTCTATGTACATGTTTTTATACATGTATAAATCTATATATACACACATACACACATATATATATATACAAATAAACATATGTATATACGTATATATATATATACATGAATATACGTGTATATATATGTGTGTGTGCGTATGCAACCTTATTTCTATGTACGCAAATGCCTGCATGTGTATCTTATGTTTACGTATACACACATTATGTCACACACGCGCACACCTCTATAATCTATACAACACAAATACAACTTGTATGCTTGTATACACCCACCGTCAAATGGTACCAAATCCAGCACCTTACGGGGGGGGGTCCCCACCACCCCCCCTCCCCCCCTTTGGCCGCACCCCCCCCCCCCTCCCCCCCTTTCGCCACGCCGCCCCTTGACTCCGGAACCCGACCCCCGCCACCCCTACCCCTAGTCCTCACCCTAACCCAAACCCCTAAACCTAACCCCGACCACTAAACCCAGCCCCAAAGAGTACTCACTACTCATTACTTACTACCCACTACTAACTACTCGCTATTCGCTACTAACTTCTCACTACCCCCTACTCACTACTCACGACTCACTACTCACCATCCACTACTCACTACCCACCACACACTATTCGCGACTCACTACTCCCTACTCACTACTCCCTCCTCCCTACTCAGTACTCACTACTCACGACCCACTACTCAATACTCACTACTCACTAATCACTACTCACTGTTCCCTAATCACTACTCGCTAATCAGTACTCATTACCCACTACCCACTATCCAATACTCACTACTCATTGCCCACAAATAACTACTCACTACCCACTACTCGCTACTCGCTACTCCCAACACAATACTGACTACACAGTACTCAATATTCACTACTCGCTCCTCCCATACTCGCTAATCAATACTCACTACTCACTCCCCGCGACTCACTACTCACTACTCCCTACTCACTCGTCACTACATAGTCTTCTAGTCACTAGTCACCAGCCACTAGTCATTAGTCACTAGTCACAACTCACTACCCACTACTCACCAATCGCTACTCGCTACCAACCATACGCTACCCACTTCTAACTACTCACTGCTCGCTACTCCCTACTGCCTACTCCCCACGCACTACTCACTACTCGCTACTCCCTACGCGCTACTCACTAATCACTACCCACTACTCACCACTGCCTACTCTCTACTCACTACTCACTACGCCCTACTCGCTCCTCGCTACCTCACTACTCGCAACTCCCTACTCGCTACTCACTACTTACTACCCACTGCCACTACCCACTACTTTCTATTCATCACTACTCACTACTCACTACGCACTACTTACTAGTCGCTACTCACTACTCACAACTCAGTACTCACTACTCGCTACTCACTATTCGCTACTCTCTACTCACTACTCACTACTCACTACTCACTACTCACTACGCACTACGCACTACCCACTACTCACTACTCACTAATCACTACTCGCCACCTACTACTCACTACCCACTACTCACTACCCACTACTCATTACTCCCTACTCCCTGCCCAGTACTCACTACTCGCTACTCTACTAACTACTCACTTATCAGTACACACAACTTACTATTCACTTCTCACTACTCCCCACTCCCTACTCCGTACTCCCTACTCGCCACTCACTACCCACTACTCACTACTCACTACTCACTACGCACTAACTCACTACTCACTACTCACTACACACCTTCTCCGGCGCAGAAAAGCAAAGCGAGAGAGGCCCCCCCTCCCCGGCACCCTTTCCGGCGCAAAGGGGGGGAGGGGGGGGTCCGAACCCCCCACCCCCTTTCCAGCGCCAAGGGGGGGAGGGGGGGGGGGTCCGGACCCCGAAGTGGGGGGAAGGGGGGGGAGGGGGGGTTCGGACCCCCCCCCTTAAGGGGGAGAGGGGGGGGGCGTCGAAAATCCCACCCCCCCTTGGAAGGGGGGGAGAGGGGGGGGGGTTTTGCGAGCACACCCCCCCTTTTCAAGTACAGGGTGATCCAGTGGCGCGCTTTCCCTATTTCGGCACACCTTTCACGCGTTTCGTGGCCCCACAAGGAATTCCACCAACGGCCCCAGTGGCTGCTTTCGCGTGCGCCCACCGGACAAGTATTGGCACACCCCTCACACGTTTCGTGGCCCTATAGGGAGCTCCTCCGAATGCGCCGCATACAACGACGGTGCTCACAACTGCACATGGCTGGGTCCTTCGCCAGGCTAATTCAATGTCCCCCGACCCTCCCCCCTGGAAAAATGGAGGGCACACCAGGGGCCTTCGGGATGGGTTAGGAGGCGGTTCGGTGGGCGGTGCAAGATGGAGCTCGTGCGAGCCCCTGCGGGGGACCTCGTGCGTCAGCCCAGCTTCCGCGGCGCGGTTCAGCTTGCCCAGGGCTCCCTCGTCGACCGGGCACGCCGTCGCGGCCGCGCCGCAGCGCAGGCGCAGCGCCTGGCCTGGCGCCCTCCAGGCGGCGGCTTTGCAGCGCATGCCGCGGGCGCCGCGGGGCCCCTCTGGCCCCCGCCGAGGCCGCGTGGGGACGCGGCGGCCTCAGCCGCCGCGGCGGCGGCGCCGCCGCCATCGGGAGCGGGAGGGGCGCCTGGCGATAGTGGGCAATCGGGCCACAAGAGCACGGGCTCATTCACCTGGCGATGGGGGTCAGACTGCTGGGGGTCAGAGGCAGCGAAGGGCAAGCCGAGGAACGGGCTCCGGCGGCGATGCAGAACGGCTCTTACGCGAGATGGCACAGCGACCTTACGCGGTGGCTTGCGCGGGCCGACCGCGCGACACGCCACATTTGAAGCCAGGGCGCTCACGCGTGACCTTACGCGGGCAGCTTACGCGCCAATACCGGCGCAGACGACCCCGTTTTTTAGGCACCGTTCAGGTAGCGACAGCACCAGAACGATATTTAGAGGGCGCCAAGGTCTGGACAAGGTTGCCACGAGAACCTGGATAGGTACCGATGGTGGCTTAGAGGGGGTTAGATAACTCCGCTAAGTGGGCGGAACACACTTTGCCTGGCACTTGATCCCTCTAAACCACTTGTGGCACGTGCAACCCGCTATAGGCTAGACCAAGTTAGGCCATATACAATCCAACTTGGCATCAGATAGCCCTCCTCTCCCGATACCAACCACGCGCTGATCCAAGTGGTGCAGAGGGGAAGATAGCGGTAATGGCAATTGTTCCTCCTATGACACCTCTAGGTGGCGACATCCGAGCCCTACCCCCACCAACCATTGATCCTGCCGGCTGCCATCTCGAGCCTGTTGGTATACTGGAGGGCTTCGCAACTGCGAAGTCTTTGGATGTTGGCCAAAATGTCAACCGTCACGCAATCACCCAGCGTACAGTATCGCCCCCCTTTCTGTGACTACAATCGGACCTAGGACAGAAGAGCATCCCTGAAGAGAACGAGACCCTCCGCTGGCCAAAACACACAGAAAAAAAACAAAACATCCAGGATGCACAAAAACATCCAACAAGCACGAAGAACAATAGTCGGCGGTGGACAAACCTCCCTTTAGTAATCCTCTAGTGAAAACGGCCTAAGACCGATACCGACGGACCCGGACCCGCAACAAGTGACGGCCGCGACGCCCTCTCGCGAGCCGAAAACGGCCAATCCGCTGATCGGCGTGTCAGGGCAGGAGGTCCATCAACCTCCGAAATAGGGCACCCTCCCCGAACCGAACTCGACGTTATACTCGGGCCGGGCGAAAGGGGAGGATAGCAAAGGGGGGGGTTGAGAATCAGCTCACGCAGCTGATTTTCCCGGCGCCTCCCGGCGCCAGGAGGCGCCCATGTATGGAGGAATGGGCCCGGCGGCGGGGCCGAAACCAGCTGCATCCCCCCCTTTCGTTCGGCCCGATATACGTCGGTCCGACCGCACTGCTCCGAGCGGGACGAGCACGGGAGGGCTTGCGGTCGGGCGGCCCCGCGGGCACCCCGCGCGCAGAACGCAGACGCACTGCGCGTCGGGCGGCCCAGCAGCCCAGATCTCGCGGCCTTGAGGCAGGCGTGCCCCACTCTCTTCGGGGGGAACGACAGGGGGGTACAGTCGGACGTGATCGGAGAGGACACGCGATAGGACCCAAGACCCTTCCGAGGGCCACGTTGCCACAGAACTGCAGGAGGCATGGGTCGCAAGACACAGGACAAGAGGGTACCCTCGATTTGGCAGGGTCGACCTACTAATCCGGGCCGCCTGTATGGCAGAGGGCAGGGTAGAGAATCAGCTCACGTAGCTGATGTTCCCAGCGCCTCCCGGCGCCAGGAGGTGCCCACGTATCGAGGAGTGGGCCCGGCGGCGGGGCCGAAACCAGCTGCACGCAGCAGATTTCGCATTCCCCCCCCTTTCAGAGTCCCCCCCACACGTTCGGCCCGATCTCTGAAGGAGCGGGGCTTCTGACCCCAGCCTTAGGTCGGGCATGTCCTCCTACAGGCGGACTTTGGAGGAAAAACCAGCGATAACCAAGCAGTACTCCAAAATAGCCAGAAGATCACGAAACGTCGTCCCCTGAGGATTTTTGGAGCGATTGTTGAATATATCTTCCTGTAGAGAGACATGCCCGACTTAACCCGAGCCCCGAGGCCTTCTTCTGACGATCAAGGAGCCCTGTGAGGGCCCCCGAGTTCGAGAATGGGCCAAAAATCTTAAGGAAGTGTCCTGGTGCCCGACGTTGCGGAAAAAAACGCAGCGACGAATTGCGACTATGTTCTGGCTATTGTTGAATACTCCTTCTGCAGAGGGACAGCCCGACTTGACCCTATAGCCTGATCCAGTCGGGGATTTTCTGACCCGGGTCAATCCAGACCCGGGTCCAGAATCCTGCGAGATCCTGCAAAATCCTGCACCCAGGCCCAGGTCGACGCGAAGGATCCTGCAGGATCCTTCATGATCCTGCACCCAAGCCCAGGCCAGTGCGACCCTGGCCCTGCAGGATCCTGCAAGATCGGGCGCTCTGGCTGACCCCCGTTTGCAGTGACCCCCGACTCGAAGCCCCCGACAAGGCGAGGGCGGCTCGGACCCGGCGCTTCCTGCACCGCGCCCTCTTCGCAGGCCCGCCTCGAGAATATCTCACGCCCCGTTGGCCCCCTACCTGAAGGGACCCAGCGACACACACACACACACACACACACACACGCACGCACGCACGCACGCACGCACACACGCACACACAAAGGCACACAAATCCTACGAGTCCACATCCGTTCCAATATTGCCGAAGCGTCCCGTGGTGTTGGGCCCTTGTCTTGAAGAGGCGGTTCCCGCGTTCCTCCTTCCTTCCTTCCTTCGTCACCCCCCTCCTCCCCCCCCCACCATCATCATCGATACCACCGGTTTCAGCACACCCCTCACACGTTTCGTAGCCCGATAAAGAGCTCCACCGAAGGCCCCAGTGCCACCGACCGCATGCGTCACCCCCACCAAGTACAGGGATTCGTTGCCCCATAGCGAGCTCCACCGAAGGCCCCAGTGGCACCAGTGGCACCGCCCGCATGCGTCACCCCCACCAAGTACAGCGCTTCGAAGCCGCATAGGGAGATCCACCGAAAACTCCAATGTCACCGCCCGCATGCGTCACCCCCACCCAGAACAGCGCTTCGTGGCACCATAGGAAACTCCGGTATGCACATCCCGCATGCGTCACCCCTACCCAGCACAGCGCTTCATGGTCCCATAGGGAGCTCCACCGAAGGCCCCAGTGGCACCGTCCGCATGCGTCACCCCTACCCAGCACAGCGCTTCGTGGCACCATAGGGAGCTCCACCGAAGGCCCCAGTGGCACCGCCCGCATGCGTCACCCCCACAGTTGCAGCGCCCGCATGCGTCACCCCACCATGTACAGCGCTTCGTGGCCCCATAGGGAGCTCCACCGAAGGCCCCACTGGCACCGACCGCATGCGTCCCCCCCCATTCAGTACAGCGATTCGTGGCCCCACGCGGAGCTCCACCGAAGGCCCCAGTGGCACCGACCGCATGCGTCGCCCCCACCATGTACAGCGCTGCGTGGCCCCATAGGGAGCTCCACCGAAGGCCCCAGTGGCACAGCCCGCATGCGCCACCCCCACAAAGTACAGCGCTTCGTGGCCCCATAGGGAGCCCCACCGAAGGCCCCAGTGGCACCGCCCGCATGCGTCACCCCATCCGATACAGCGCTTCGTGGGCCCACAGGAAGCTCCACCGAAGGCTCCAATGTCACCGCCCGCATACGTCACTCCCCCACAAAGTACAGCGCTTCGTGGCCCCATAGAGGGCTACTGGGCGGGGGATGCACATGCTGACTGCGCCACTGGGACGGACTGCGCCACTGGGACCCTCGGTGGAACCCCCCATGGGTCCACGAAGCGCTGTACTGGGTGGGGGAGGCGCATGCGGGCTGCGCCTCTGGGACCTTAGGTGGAGCTCCCTATGGCGCCACGAAGCGCTTTATTGGGTATGGGCTGCGACACTGAAACCTTCGGTGGAGCTCCCTCTGGAGCCACGAAACGTTGTACTGGGTGGGGAAGGCGCATACGGGCAGCGCAACTGGGAGCTTCTGGGGCCACGAAGCTGTGTACTCGGTGGGGGAGACGCGCCCCTGGGTCGGTGGAGCTCCCTGCGGGGCCACAAATACGCTGTACTGGGTGGGGGAGACGCGTGCGGGCCGCGCCCGTGGGACAGACCTTCGGTGGAGCTCCCTGTGGGGGGCACGAAACGCTGGACTGGGCGGGGGGAGACGCATGCGGGCTACGCAACTGGAACCTTCGGTGGGGCTCCCTATGGGGCCACGAAGCGCTGTACGGACTGCCCCACTAAGACCTTCGGTGGAGCCCCCTATGGGGCCACAACACGCTGTACTGGGTGGGGGTGACGCATGCGGGCTGCGCCACTGGGACCTGCGGTGTTCCCCACGGGGCCACGAAGCACTGCACTAGGTGTGGGTGGGGGAGGCGCATGCGGGCTGCGCCACTGGGACATTCGGTGGAGCTCCCTACGGGGCCACGAAACGCTCTACTGGGCGGAGGGAAGACGCATGCGGGCTGCGACATTGGTACCTTCGGTGGTGCTCTTTGAGGCCACGAAGCGCTGTAATGGGTGGGGAAGAATGCGGGCTGTGCCATTGGGGTCTTTTGGTGGATCTCCCTATCGGGCCACGAAACGCTGCAATGAGTGAGGCGAGCGCATGCTGGCTGCGCCACTGGGACCTTCGGTGGACTTCCCTATGGGGCCACGAAGCGCTGTACTGGGTGGGGAGGCGCATGCGGGCTGCGCCACTGGGACCTTCGGTGGAGCTCCCGAGTGGACACAAAACGCTATTTCACGTGTGGGAGACGCATGCGGGCTGCGCCACTGGGGCCTTCGGAGGAGCTCGCTACGTGGCCACGAAACGCTGTAATTGGTGGGAGAGGCGCATGCTGGCTGCGCCACTGGGACCTTCGGTGGAGCTCCCTACGGGGCCACGAAGCGCTGTACTAGGTGTGGGTGGGGGAGGCGCATGCGGGCTGCGCCACCGGGACCCTCGGTGGAGCTCCCTACGGGGCCACAAAACGCTGTAATGGGTGAGGGAAGCCCATGCGGGCTGCGCCACTTGGACCTTCGGTGGAGCTCCCGATGGGGCCACGAAACGTGTGAGGGTCGGGCCAAAGCTGATGGCGATGATGGTGATGATGACGGCAATGCTGATGACGATGGTACTGATGAGGGCCATGATGATGATGATGATGATGATGATGATGATGATGATGATGATGATGATGATGATGATGAGGGATGATGATGATGATGATGATGATGATGATGATGATGATGACGATGATGATGATGATGATGATGATGATGATGATCATGATAATGACGATGGTGACGATGACGATGACAGTGACGAGTGTGATGACGATGATGGTGATGATGATGATGATCATCATGATGATGATGATGATGATGATGATGATGATGATGATGATGATGATGATGATGATGATGATGATGATGATGACGAAGGTGACGATGGTGGCGATGATGATGATGATGATGATGATGATGATGATGATGATGATGATGATGATGATGATGATGATGATGATGATGATGGTGGTGGTGATGATGATGGTGATGGGAGGGGGAAGGGGAGGAGGAGGAGGAGGAGGAGGAGGAGGAGGAGGAGGAGGAGGAGGAGGAGAGGAGGAGGAACGCAGGGAGCCGTCTTTTCAAAACGAGGACCCAACACCACATGATGGTTGGGAGACACACTCTCGAGAAAGAGGCATCCTGCGCACACGAGGCCGTGGATGCCTCGCAAGGAGCGCGGGCCGCCGGAGCCAGCACACCGCGCGTGGAAGAGCGGCTCACGATGCTGCGAATTGACGCGGGCAGCCTGCGCACCAGGGCTGGACCTAAACGTTGTTTTTCGTTTTGCTATTGTTTTCCCTCCCAAAGCGAAAAACAAAACACAGCCGAGGTCCAGCAATACAGCGTTTAGGTCCAGCCCTGCTGCGCACGAGCGGCCGCTTATCTGTCACCGGACGATGAACAAAAAAAAATAGCCTGGCGCAGGACCCAACCATATGCAAATGTGAATACCGTCGTTATGCACCGCATCCGGAAGAGCTCCCTCTACGGCCACAAAACGTGCGAGGGGTGTGCCAAAATTTGTCCGCTGGGCGCATGCGAAAGCAGCCACTTGGGCCGTCGGTAGAATTCCGTATGGGGCCACGAACCGCGTGAGAGGTGTGCCGAAAGTGATGCGGTGGGCGCATGCGAACGCAGCCACTGGGGCTGTCGGTGGAGCTTCCTACGGGGCCGCGAAATGTGCCGAAATGGGTGCGGTGGACGCATGCGAACGCAGCCACTGGCGCCTTCGGTGCAGCCCCTTATGGGGCCACGAAAAGCTTGAGAGGTGTGCCGGAATGTACGTGGGTGACGCATGCGGGCGGTGGCACCGGGGCCTTCGTTGGAACTCCCTATTGGGCCACGAAACTTGTGACAGGTGTGACGAGATGGGGGTGGGTGACGCAGGCGGGCGGTGGCACTGTGGCCTTCGGTGGAGCTCCTTGTGGGGCCACGAAACGTATGAGGAGTGCCGAAATGGGTGTGGGTGACGCATGCGGGCGGTGGCACTGTGGCCTTCGGTGGAGCTCCCTATGGGGCCACGAAACGTGTAAGGGGTGTGCCGAAAAGAGTGTGGGTGAAGCATGCGTGCGGTGGCACTGGGGCCCTCGGTGGAGCTCCCTATGGGGCGCGTCACGAAACGTGTGAAAGGGTGTGCCGAAATGGGTGGGTGACGCATGAGGGCGGGGGGAGGAGGAGGAGGAGGAGGAGTGACGCGGGGCGCTCGCTCTGTGCAAAATGAGGACCCAACACCACAGGAGGGTCGGGGAAAAACAAAAAAACGACAAAAAATGCTGGCACAACTTAAAGATCTAGCCTGTAGCGTTCTGGAGCGACTCGACTGTGAGAGATGAATAGGTACGACTCGCGGACACTGGTACCTGGCGGGCGCCGCAGAAACAGGTGTAAACATAAAAAGCGGCAAGGGATCTGTCACAGGACGATTTTGGGCGATCGACGCTTAATCCTATGACGAACGAACACCACACACCCATACCCATTAGAAGGAATGAGGTGGCTGTGGGTGCGCGTTGTCGGATGGGGGTCCCCGCTAGAACGGGAGCCTCCGCCGCAGTCCGACAACCCACACCCATACCCATAGCCAGGCCTTCTCCCTCCGATCCTCTTATGGGTATGGGTGTGTGTGCTGTTCGCCCGTCATCCTACCCTTGCCCACGCCCCCACCCAACGGGAGGCCAGCGGGGTTACGGACAATTGCATGGCCCCGACACCTTGGCGTCTTGGAAGCAGTAAGGGTACACATAAAGCTTCGATCACCGACCGAGTTTTGGTAGCCCCGAACACGGCATGGCGACAGGCCCCGTCGGACGCTGCGGGATCACGCGGGAAGCGCTCTGATGCCGGCGGAAGCGAGATGCGCTGCCCAGCAGGCAAGGAGAGGCAAGATCGCGTCCTCGCCGCGACCGTGAAGGCGCTGACCAGGGAGTCCTGCCCGGGCTTCGAGAGCCGTGCGCCCAAGCAAGCGGATCCGTGGAGCGAGCGCGCTCGTGCAGCTGCGCGCGTCGCGCGGCCCGCGGAGCGCGATGATGCTCGGCTGTGTCGGCGCCGTCGCGCCGCCGTCCCCGGAGAAGAGAGGAACTCCAGACCATGCGAAGACGCGGGAGGCGCGGTCATCTCTGCGCCCGCGCGGGCGACGCAGAAAATGCAGGCGTGGTCGCGCTCGAGCGCAAACGTTCCATGTCCTCGCTCCAGGGCGGCTGTGCTGACACAAAGCGATAACCATTTTACTTCCCTCGCCTCACGACCCCCCTGGCCAACTGAATGCGAGAAAGGAACCGGATGCGACACGAGCTCGGCCTAGGGTTGCCCGTCCACTGCCTACGCAAATGCGGTGCAAAATCGTTTCTCCAAAGACTGTGAGCCGAGGGCATGCGAACTCCGCAAAATGCGTAGGCCTCACCCCTCTCTGTCTCCCATCTCTCGCTTTCTCTCTCTCTCTCTCTCTTTCTCCCTTTCCCTCTACCTCTCCCTCTCCCTCGTTGTTTCTCTCTCTCTCTCTCTCCCTCTCCTGCCCTTTCCCTTCATCACTCAGAACGTCCATTTTGCAATTACGGAAAGTTTCTCTCAAGGCTAGTGATGTACCACAAACTCACTGCGGGCATTGCAACATCGCCCCGTGAAGATGCCGTGAAGTTCCAGAAAACATGTAAGCAGTGCAGGTCGCGACGCATCGCCAATGCATCGGCGATGCCCCGGCAACGGCGATGGATCGAGCCCCAACGCTGATGGACACGGCGGATCCACCGGCCCAGATCTGCTCCGGCCGCGGTCCGGTGGCCTGGATTCCGATTGGCGTGGACTGAAGCCGCCCGCGCCGCGCGGTCCCTCGAGTTTGCGCCCGAGGAGGCACCAACTATCGATCCAGGACCCTGGCCCGATCGGTGAACGCGGCGAGAAGGCCCACCGAGGGGTGATCCTGGGCCAGGATCGGCGTTGGTGTATAGTTGGTGCCCTCCGACCCAGGGCGGTGGAGCGAGCGCCCTACCCCGCCCGCCATCCATCTAGCAGGGACCGACCGTCCCGTCATGCCTTGGCCTACCACGAAATTCCCTCCGAGCTGCAGAATTTTCGAATAGCAGATGTGTTGAAACAAGACAGTCTCAGCCAGAAATGTTCCCGAGGACCTGCTGTGACCACAAAAGGCTCTCAGGACATGCTTTGGTGGGCCTGCAGGCGCGCCAGGACGCTTCGCAACTGCCTGAATCCAGGAGGGCACAGGAGGAGAGAGCTGCGTCGAGAGGGACCGCCGCCCCCCCTTGCCCCCCCTCGCCATTTCGACCACCACAACCGCCCTCCTCCTCCTCCTCCTGCTCCTCCCCCTCCCCATCCTAGCCCTCATCCTGTCCCTCCCCCTCCTCCTCCTCCTCCTCCTCCTCCTCCTCCTCCTCCTGCAGCTCCCCCCTCCTGCTCCCTGTCCCTCTTTGCCTTCCCCCGCCTCAACCACCAAAGCCGAATCGCCCTGCGCTTCTTCCTCCAGAAGTTCCTTCTCCGCGCTCGCGCCTCCGCAGCTGTCCTGGTCTCCCCGCGTGGGAGCAGCCTGAGTGGACCTCATGTGGGCCCATCTGGTCAGGCTTTGAGGCCTGGCGGTGGCTTACCTTGGGTAAGCTTCTGGAGAGCCTTGATGCCACCCTCTGTTGGTGGTGCACAGGGCTCCCTGAATTTCTTGGCTGCACGGATGGCCCATGCTCCACATCGGGAGCACCAAAGGACGCCATTCAACTTCTTGATGAACGGCCCGTGGGACGGGTGGAAGCGGTTTTGCGGCCCTGGGGGAACGCAGGGGGTCCTAAGCCACCTGGGCGTTCCCTTGATGACACTACCTTGCTTGCCACAGGCGCGACGGGCAATCTGGAAAAGGGGAGGGGCAGGAGCGGCGGAGAGGGAGTGGGGCGTCCTAGACAGCTCAACCTGCAAGGCTGCTACACTGCGCTCCACCTTCACGTTCCTACGGTTCTCCTTGACGTCCTCATCCTCCTCGAGGCCCAGTGGGTCTTTGTGGCTCCAGTAGTGGCTCTGGACTGCTGCCAATCTGTCCCTGATGAGATCGGCGTGAATGTCGGTGCCTTGGAGGTGCCGAACGAGGGGCCCTGGGACTTGACGCCACTGCGCTGCTTCCGCAGCGAGAATGTCGGCGTGGCCATTGAGGCGTAGGGCCAAGGGGGGCTCTCGAGCGGCCTCTTCTTCCGTGGGGTGGCTTTTCACTTTGTAGAAGATCGTGCTGTCCCGTCGGTTCTTGGCCTGGGTCCAGAACTTCTGCTAAGTGAGCTGGTTCTTGGGGTGCCGAAAACGAGGGCCTCTGTTGAAGCCCTTGATCACATAGGCACAGTCGATCACGATAATGAGGCGGCCGCGAGTGGACTCCAGCAGCGCAGTGACTGCATCGAGCTCCGCCAGCGGTACCGTCTGCGGGCCGATGATGCCTCCCTGGATGGTTCCTTTCCAGGTGAGGTCGTGTGCCCACAAGGATACGCTCCAGCCACAGACTCTGATGCGCGGGTCCTGCGTATGAGGCCCTCCACTACCGTCTGTAGCTGCCACTTGCCAGCCATCGAACTCATAGACTGCATGCTGTTCAAATACTCCTTTTCGGACCGTGTCCTGATCTAGTCCCAGAATGTGCCCATAGACTTGACGTATGATCGTGGCGGAGATGATTCCTCGGAGCCGGAGACTGGGTTCCATTGGGGACTCGGCCACTGCACGATCGATGGAGCCCTGGGTCCGATTGATGGCGGGGATGTTGAGACTTCCCAATTCAGGACACGTCCAAAATTTGTGTAAATCATCTCCGTGTTCTTGCCCGCAGAGAGGACATTCGGCGTCATCCTGCTGGCCGCTCTCAAACCTGCGATGGGCGCTCCAGCACCTCGAGCAGGAAACGGCATCTAAAGCTGCTGGGTAAGTTGCTTCTCGCTGGAGTTCCTCCTGGGCCTGGACTTGTTGGGCTCGGGGGAGGGGGTACTCGGCTAGCTGCTTCTCTCGCTTCTTGATGGCGGCCCGCTTTTCTGGCAGGGTATATCCGCAGGGAGCACACGTCCCCCCCCTCCTGGAGGCCTCCAGAGTTATGGCTGAGGGGTGGGTTGCTTTCCACACATGCATGTTCAAGAGGAACTCCAAGTGAAACATGAAAACCTTCTGGCTGTCCCAGCCCAGCGGCTTGACGGGGGAATCGAGGCCCTCGGGGTCCCTCCAGAGCCATGCCGAGGTAGGGGTCCAGCCTAGGTCGTACAGGGTGGCGATGATCGCGGACATGTGGGACCTGACCATGAGCCACCTTGATGGTCTCTTGAGCTTCTCCCTCAGAGTCTCCTAAGCCTTCTGGATGGCTCCGAGGATGCTGAGTTCGGCGTTGATAACCCGAAACCACATCGTGAACAGCTGGACCCGTAGATAGATCCCTGGATCCATGTTAGATGGGTGTCCTGGACGGGTATGGAGACAAGTGGTGAGGCAGGCCCCTGCTTTAGAAACTCCCTGTGCCGCTCCCGCCAATCGGCGGAAATACTGGACTTCGGTCGGTGCTGATCCGTGCCCCTCCATGCCCCACTTCAGCTGCGGTAGAGCGCCTGTGCGGAAAAGTGATCGCGCCTTGGTTGTAGTCTTGGCCAGCTTCTTGATGTTCTTGTGTCTCTGCACTCCGAGACGACGACGGGTTCGGCGGACTCCCAGGGCCCTTTTCTTCCCGATCGTAGTGTCGACCCCCAGGTCCCGAGCATGCTGAGCGGGTCTGATCTGGACCCCTGCCTGGTTGAGTTCGTCGGCGACCGCAGTGCGGATGTCGTTGGAGCTGGCCAGGACCACAGACTTACCAGAGAGACGCATCCTAGGTCAGCGAGTCCTCCACATAACTGTATGATGAGCTCTGGGAAGGCTTCCTTCAGGGCCTCTGGGCCCCCCACAAGACGGACCCTGATGTCGCCCACCCAGGTTCGGATCGTGGGCCTGGGGATCTGGTGGTGGGCTCTCTCGAGGACGTCGCGCAGGAGGGCCCTGGTCCAGGCAACGCTTTGTCCGCACCCTTGGAGGATTGAAGCCATCGGGATGAGGGGCTCGCTGGCTCCAATCGGTGTCGTGAGGACTCTGGTACACGTGTGGACCATCATGCCCAGTGCCAGTGGGACCACTGGGTAGCCTAGGGCGATGGCCTTCTCTGCCAGCTTGCGCCGGCAGGTCGCGTCGAAAAAACTTTTCGAGGTCTAAAACGCCCTCGATGATGGAGCACTTGAGAGAGCTGCTAATCTCTGCAAAAAGCTCGCTGATGAGGGCTGCTCTTAAACAATCACTGCCTTTGATAGCTGCGTCCCAGAAACCTGCCCGTGCCTCTTCCCAGGAGGAGAACTGGCCCTTGAATAGGCGCATGGTGACACGGAATGGGGCGTTCGTCAAGGTGATGGGGCGGTCGCTGACCTCTGTCTTGGGTTTCAGGGCCACCAGGTTGATTAGGAACTGGGCTGGAAACTGCTGCAGCCTACACGTATCATTGATAATGTCAGTGAGGATCTCCAATCCTTCAGGAGGGAGCCGACGGAAATCTGCTACTCGCCACTGGTCCGCTCCTGGTGCAGAATTGCTCGAGAAACTTCTGAGGGCCTTCTGAACTTGCGCTGGGCCCCAACTGCGAGAGGGGCCCCAAGAGCCCATTGCTTGCTGGCGTAGGTATTGGAGCCAAGGGGCCTCGAGGGGCTTGTCGGGGATGATCTTATCTGGGTCCCAGTGTTGCAACCAATACTCGCTTTTGTGGTTCAGGACCTTCAGGGGGTCTGTGATAATCTCCCCGTCGACCGAGCTGAAAACGTCATTGTCCTCTTCTGGAGCGGGCCCAGGGACCTCTGTGACGTGGCGCGCGCCGCCGCCCCCGTGGGCGAGGGAGTCGTGGAGCCAGGTCTTGAATGCAGTCTCCTTCTGCATCCAGGCTTCCTTATCAAAGTGCTGAACGATCAGCTCGAGCTGGAAACGTGCATCTGGCCGCGAGGTCGTAGCACTTGTGCCTGCGAGATATGACTGCACCAGAGTCTGCGAGGCTGGCAGAAGATCTGGTGGCCACACTGGGTTCGCTTGGAGGGTGGAGGTGAGGTACCCCTGGATCCTCAGGAGCTCTCTGGAGGCCGGATGGTGTTGGAGTAGATGATCCCGTTCTTGGGCCCTCTGCTGGACAACCCCCCACTGATGACTTTCATGATGAAGTCGACGCTGGAAGGGAGTGGGGGGGGGATGTCTCTCCAGATGTCCTCGAACTGTAGCCTTCCTGGGCGCCTGCAGGGGCCCCGATGCACCAACCTTCGAGGGCCCGACTGAGGAGGCCGCACTGGTGGGTAAGGGTTTGGCTGGCGAGCTCTTCTGCGATAGGGAACTGCACCTGCGGCGTCTCGTGCTAGTCTAGCTGCGCCTGGTGCCAATACTGTGCCCACGGACTGGCTGGGGCTGCTGATGATTTGACTGAAGCAGCCTGCCTAGGGAACCATCCCTGGCGATGGAGTGCCTCCGCTCGGAAAACTGCTCTGAGTCCGATGTGTGGCATCCATGGGCTGGTTAAATCGGTCTCGATAGACAGGTAGTCAGAGATCGAGCTGTGGATAATGAAGTAGTCGATGAGACGACCATTGCGACACGAGGTCTCGATGTTCGCGGTTTTGATGACACCTGAGATTTTCTGGACCCAGGGGTGGCCTGCCAGGAGCTCCTGGGGGACCATGTTGAAATCTCCCGAGATGATGCACGGGAGGTCCAGGGAGGTGAGGAAAACGGAAATCTCTTTCACAACCTTGATATTGAAATTGTTGTAGCCGACCCCCGACTGAAGGTAGACGGTAAGCAAAACTATGTTGCGGGCCTTTGTGCGGATCAAACAAGCGGTCCAGTTGGTGCCCCCCCACCAGCGGCCTCTTGTTACCCTTTCCCCAGCATGGCCCGCGCGTGAGAGTGAAACTGTCGGGCGACGAAAATCCCGACTCCGCCTGTCTCTCCACCCGCCGGCGCGGCTGTGGCGGGACGCTGATAGCTCTTGTAGCCAAGTTTACACATGCATTTACGTGCTTCTCCCAGCTTCCCTGAAGTCAGATGTGTCTCCCCTAACATGATGACCTGAGGAAGCCCAACATCAGAAGACTGTAAATATTTCTTGGCCTTATCATTCCACTTAGTAATATTGGCGTGGTAGATGTGAAACTCTGTCATGAGCTCGGGGGGAGCTCGCTGAGGTGGCCGAGTGGCCTGCTCAGCTGTCGCGAGCCCCCCCCCTCTCCCTGGGACAACTGCGGCTCCTACGGTCACCGCCAGGGCCTGGACGAGCTTCTCCTTGTGGGCCTGCTGCTTGGCGGCCACGATGGTCGACGCTGGCGCTCTGCTTCGCCCTCGCATTCTTGATCTTGGTCTTGGCGGGGGGAAGCTTGGCGGAGGCTGCCGTGAGCTGCTCGATGAATGCCTTGGCCTGGTCCCCGTGGTCGCCTTTCATGTCCTGCATGTGCTTCTTGAGACCGTCGGGGATCACGGGCATGGCTGGGATCTCGATCTCCTCCTCATCACCCTCGTCCATGCCCTAGTGGTCGTCGCCCTTGGCGGGGTCATGCCCGCCGCTGGCCCACTTCGCGGTGGCCTCCACACTGGCCTTCTCGAAGGTGTCGCGAGCCCCCTTGAGCTCGGTGGTCGTGTCCTTCAGTTCGCCTTGCGCCGCCCTGAGCTCGGCGGCCAGGCGGTCGACCGTGGTGGAGAGGTATAGCTGCTTCTTCTCTAGTTGGCGCACCCTCTGGAGCGCCTGTGTGGCCGAGATCGCTGGGTTCTTCTGCTCGGGGGCGGAGATTCCTTCGAATTTCTGTACCTTATCTCCGAGGGCGTTCTTCTGCTCGGTGGTGAGCGTGCTGAGGAGGGCTGCGAGGATCTCCTTGATGTCCCCGAGGCCGCCCTCCTTGTCCTTGCCCTTGCCCTTGTCGTCACCCTGCCCTGTGTGGGGTCCTATGTGCCCACCTGGGATGTCGAACGGCACCCCGCAGAAACAGAAGACCTCCTTTTTACCTTTGTTGAGATACTGCCATCCTTGCATGCACTGCAGACGACGTACTGCCTCTTCTTGGGCTGTGTGGCATCGTCTCTTCTTCAAACTTTACTCCAACTCCCACTTCATCCACAAGGAGGGGCAGGGGGAGAAAAGGGAGGGGAACCTGAAGGGAGAGAATGGGCGAGGGAGGAGCAAGCGGAGGAACGGAAGGGGAGGGGGTACGACAGCCCCGACACCGACGACGAAGTCGACCACAACCGGCGACGACGGCAGCGACGGCACCGACGACGACGACACCGCGACGACGACGACGACGACCACGACCACGACGAAGACGACGACGGCGAAGAGTTAGGACGACCAAAGGCGACGATGGCGACGATGAACGGCGCGGCGGCAGCGACAGTACCGACCACGACGACGACAGTGAACAGCGACGAGCCGAGGCCAGCGGCCGCCTCCAGCCCGAGCTTGCCGCTGAGCGACATGATGCTGTCCAGGTGCTTCGACACGTCCGCGGCGCCTCTCGCGCGGCCGCCGCCGATGTGCCGGCGCCGCCGGCGGCGCGGGCGGCGCCGGCGGCGGCGGCGGCGGCGGCCCGGATCTCCAGGCGACTCGAACGAGGAGCGCCACGGGTCTTTCGCGACGATCGGCGCCCAGGGACCGCTCACGGACCCTCGCAACGCAGCCATGCGCCAGCCTCTATGGCACGGCGCCTCGGCAAGACAGAAAGTTGCGGAGGAGAAGGCGGGGGAGGAAGAATGACACGCGCTACCACACTACGGCTGCGTGTGTTGTATTAACTCGTGCACGCACTGAGCCCGTTGCAACTGGTGTAGCCAGATGACACCCATGCGGCAGAAAACCCTCAGCAGCCTTACGCAGCTGACGATGGGGGGCCACGAAGGGGGGTCGTCGCGTCTGCCTTGCCGCTTCGCTACAGGAACCTGCAAGATTGCGACAGGGTGGCCTCCGTAGGCGGGAACACGGCTGGTGCGGAGGTCAGCTGATGCTGCTGCGAGCTCGTGTAATTCCTCCTCCTCCTCCTCCCCCTCCTCCCCCTCCTCCTCCTGCTCCTCCTCCTCCTCCTCCTCCTCCTCCTCCTCCTCCTCCTTCTCCTGCACCTCATCATTCCTTCTTCCTCCTTCACGTTATGTCCATCCCTCCTCCCCCGCGATTCATGCAAGGGAACCAACAGGTACCGATACCGCTGCTCCCCGGACCCCTCCCGGGGCCGCCTGGCGCCCAGAGTTTCTAGGCGAATCCAGCGGTGGCGACAAAGGCTTCCCAGGAAGCCCCAGCAAGAAGAGGAGAACGAGAGAAGGGCAGCGGTGTGGGTGCCTCTGTCCTCCCCCTGAGCTCCACGACGCCCCGCCCGCCCGCCTTCCACGAGCCGGGGGTAGTGCTCCTTCAGAGCCGCCTGGGGGCCACGCGAGGAGGAAGGGCGGGGCCGCGCGGGAGCGGGCAGCAGGGCTCGAGCTGAGCAGCGGCTGTTTTTGTTGCTTCGGTTCGCTTGCGTGTGCTTTCGACTTCGGTGCGTTTCATCTTGTCTTCGTTTTTTCGTACCGTCTGCGCTTTCCCCCGTCCTGTCTGTGTTCCGCCTCCGCTGCAAGACGAAGTCAACACGGAAACGGCCCACGACGAATCGCCAAAAAATGTGGGCCTGTTTTCCACCACCACCACCACCACCATCAGTTGGAAGGGGAAGGGGGTCATCCTCCTCCTCCTCCTCTTCTTCCTCCTCCTCATCCTCCTCCTCATCATACTCCTTCCCTCCTCCAACTTATGGTGGTGGAAAACAGGCCCATCGAAAAACACCGTTCAGCCCTCGAGCCCTGGCGCGGGCGGTGCAGCGACCCCGCCCCCGCCCCCCCCCCCCAGCGCGCGGGGAGGCCAAGCGACGCGCAGGAACGGAGGAGCGCGGGCGGAAGCCACAGGGCGCCCAACCTCGCGCTTTCGCGCTGCGCGGCGCGAAGCGCGAAGGACTTCGCGCTCTCGCGCCGCCCCCCCCCCAGGGGAGGCGAGGGGGACGAAGAGGAGCCGGAGCCGCACCGCGAGGCGCGAGGCGCGAAGAGCTTCGCGCCCTCGAGGGCGCCCTTGGGAGGGGAGCCACCCACGCATCCAACCCGCCACCATCCCTGGCCCCGCTTCCCCTACGAGTAGTATTCGTATGATGTTGCTGCTGCGTCCTCTTCCTCCTCTTCCTCCTGCTCCTCGGTCTCCTCCTCCTCCTCCTCCTCCTCCTCCTCCTCCTCCTCCTCCTCCTCCCCTGAGATCCCACGTCGTGTTCTAATGCGGGGGCCCGCAGAGATCTCAACCACTTTCCTGGGAACCGCTGTGCGTGATCCTGGATCACTGTTGCATGGCCTCTGAGACCGAAAAGGGCCCACTGAGGTCGAGCATGACGAGAGGCCTCGACCCTGTGCTGTTCGCGACGTCGGAGGTCTGAGTGCTCGTTTCGTCCGTTTAGATTCGGGCTCGCCCTAGCGTTCCCTAGTGAAGGCGCGACTACGGCGCATCCGCGCTCACCTCTGAAATTCCACCAGCCCTTTGGGCGAAGGTGGTTTAACGATGTCTTTCTCTCCTCGTCCGAAACCCTCTTCCCTTCGGGACGGGGTACCCTCCCCCTCCCCTCCCTGGGGTATTTGGGGGATTTCGCGATGTGGCAGGGAAACCTGTTTCGCCCAGTATAACTCCAAGAGGGTGACAAGGTTACACGGCGGCTCAGGACAACCGAAGATGGCTCGAGGTAGCTTCCGACATATCTCCACTAGAACCACGCGCGCGCTCCGCGCGCGCTCAGGGTCTAGCGCAGGATAAGCCAACGTCGCGACACAAGGGTTGCGAGTCTCCATGACTGTCTTGCGAATGTAATGACTTTTTTTCAGAAGTCTTCGCGACTGGCTTGCCCTTCGCCCTTCTCCCTCTCTGCTTGGGCTTGCCCCTCCACGCTTCCACATCCTTATTTGCCAAAATGGCTCCTTCCCCATCCACATTGACGCGTCGCTCTTCGATGATGTCGCTCACCAAAGCTGAACCTAAACGGTGTCTTTCGTGTTCGTTTTGTTTTCGGTCTCCCTCGCTTTTGTCTCGAATCCGCCTTTACCGCAAAACGAAGTCGAAACGAAAATGGCCCACGAAATCACCAAAAACACCGTTTAGGTCCAGCCCTGTCGCTCACATATCGTAGTCCTCTCCTGTTTCTTCCATCAGTCCTGCTGCCCCCTCCGGACGCCATCCTTGAGGAGGAATGACGGAACGATCGGTTGGCGCCAAAAGCCGAATCGAAGTGCCGCATCCTCCTCCCCATCCTCACCTCCTCATCTTCCTTCTAACCATCAGCATCATCATCACCACCCCCATCTTCACAACTCTTCGCGCATCCTCCTCCAACGCCTTTTGGAAGCGCCTGGGGGCGCTTCTGAAACACATGCCAACACGACTCCGAAATATTGTTCCGTCCATAACGAACTGATGAAACAAAACAAGTCGTCTACGCCTCTTCCTGAACCCTCCCTTCTCCCCTCTCTCCTCTCTATCACACCATTCCTCCTCCCTGGTCTCTCAGTCACCTGCCCGTACTGTTCTTCCTGCTCCCGCTCCTACTGCTGCTGCTGCTGGTGCTGCTGCTGCTGCTGCTGCTGCAACTGCTGCGCATCCTTGGCCTCATCCTCCTTCTCTTCTCCATCCCATCGATGCTGCGAGCCATGACTTGCGTAGAAAATGAAGATGACGGGCGGCGCCGGAATCGCCGCCCGAGCAAACGCTCCTGACCTAAAACAAGAAAACGGCATAAACAACAGCTTTTGGCACTCTACTCGGATTGCTTGGATCTGCGCTGGACCACCCTCCCTGACACGCGGAGCGCGCCAGGGGCGGCGCCGGAGGCGCCGACGGGGGGGCCCAGCGCGTATCTGAGAAGTCTGCGCGGAGCGCCAAAAGTGTATGTTTTTGCCTGCTTCGAATCCCATGAGTTGGGTCGAGGGTCAGACAGCGCCTTCCTCTGCAGGACCACCCAAAAAAAAATGTCAAGGTGGTCAAACGCCTCGCCGGTGAAGCCGACGACGATGTACAGCATCCAACCGTTCGGTTATGTCCAAAGTTTTGGCTTGACGCTGGGTGTGGTGCATCAGTTTCAGCTTGACCGAACAGGTTGGTTGCGCCCGGTGACGTTCGCGTGGGGCGTTCTGCAGACCTGGCCCCCCAGCCCTGCTCACAACATCCCTCAAATACACGAGACCCTACGCCAGGCCAAAGCACACAGAACTTCAAAGGATACCATCCCCAGGAGGCACAATAATATCCCACAAGCATGAAGAACATTTGGTTCGCAGGCAATTGCTAGGGGGTCTTCGTCGGAAGGACTATAGATTAAGCCGCACTGGGGGGCTGTTACGCCAGATTAAGCGGAAGTAAGCGGGATTCAGCTGGATTAAGCGGAAGCAAGCCGGATTCAACCCAATGTCGGGCGAGGGCAAAATCTGAATCTGACATCCCAGGAGTTGCATCCGCGCTTAGAAACTAGGCGACCCTCCCCGAACTGGCCTGGATCTTGTACGTCGGCCCGACCGAAGGTGCTTCCTTCCGCGAGGGCTGCCGGAGGCTTAGCGCAACCCGGCCCGCAGGGGCCCAGGAAGACGGCAGACCCACGAAGAGCTGCGCGGCAGGACACAGAATCCGCACGCCTGGGCGACGCCGGACGACTCCCTCCTGGCCCCTGCCTCCTTTACCCTTAAAGTCGGGCTTCTACGGACCTGGGTCATGGCAAACCCAGGTCAGTCGAGCTTTCTGCGGGATCCCGCGCGAGATCCTGCAGGATCCTGCGCGCAAGCCCGGGTCAATGCAAGACTGGCTCTGCAGGATCCTGCAAGATCCGGCGCTCTGGCTGACCCCGAGGCTCCCGACTTGACCTCTGGGGTGGAGCGGCATGGGGGCCGAAACCGGCTGCATACTGCAGATTCCGCACACCCGCCCCGTCCGACCCAGCCGACGCCGCGTGGAGGCCTCCAGAGGTCCCTGGATACGACGCTGCAGGGAAACGTCGCGCGAAGCGCAAGACGCACACCTCAGGCTGAGGAAGGCCCGTGGGCCCCCTTTGCTCGCCCCGAGGGCCACCAACATGGCATACCCTGGAGCTCGTCAGAGCCGTAGAAGGAGGCCACCGAAAAGCCGGGGCGCACGCCAACACGGACCACGCAGCCGAGCACGACGCCGATGCCGCCTGATCTGGCGACGGAGCGCGCCAACTCTGCACTTAGGTTGGGCATGTCCCCCTACAGGCGGGTTTTGGACAAAGGAAACAAAAACCCCCAAATGCTCCCAAATGGTCAAAAGTCGAACAATCGTCCCCTGACTGTTTTTTTTTTTTTTGAATCCTTCCCCCTGTAGAGGGACAGGCCCGACCAAATCCCGTCCCTGGTTGCGCTTCCTCGGAGAACGCGAAAGGCTCGAGAGAGCCTCCGAAGCCCTCGGTCGAGCGGTCGAGCGAGCCACCACTGCGGCGCATTCTCTCTGGGCCTGTCCAAAAGGCCCGTCGGGCGAGACCGTGGCTTCAATCGAAAGTCGGACTCGATTGGAGAGGACACGTGAGAGGACAAAAGACCCTTTCCGAGGGGCACACTGCAATGTGAATGTATGAGGCATGGGTCGCGAGACGCAGGACACAAGGGTACCCTTGACTTGGCAGGGTCGACCTACTAATCCGGGCCGACTGTATCGGACTGTTGCATATGGAAAACATGAAGATGTGCTGCGAGACATTCAACTAATGCGTGAGATATGGAGGTGGCAAGACTTGGAGGCGGTCAGGGGGGTTGAACTGGTTGGGGCCCCCCCAGGAGATCTGTCAGGACGGGGGGGTGAAGCCAAAGTCGCTCAAACCGGCCCCCTGACCCCTCCCAGGGTCCATCTGATGCGAACATTCCACCCAGGTCCGTTTTTGACAGCCCCTGAGCCCGAAAACTGCCCTCGGAGACCAAACATGGCAACAAAAACATTCGCAATTCCAGGAATGCACCTCGCCCATCCTTCATGCTGGCCAGAACCAAATCTGAGCCACCTCAGGCACCCAGCAACTCCAACGTAAGATATGGAGGACCCAGACATGGGATGTTCCATGTTCTTCGGCACGGGATCCCCAAAGTCCCGACCCTTTCCCTGGGACAAGTATTTCATCCAGAATTGTTTTTACCTAACAACTTGTTCTGATAGGTTTCTAATTACCTAACAGCGAAGACTGATAGGTTTCTAGTTGACTCAAAAGAGCTCACAGATCACTCCACAGGGGGGTCTGGGCGGGTGCCGGACAGGGTGCCGCAGAACTCATTTTAAGCCAACAGTCACACACTTCGTGCTCTTCACTTCCCAGAACTCCATTCCCGGGCCACATTCTGAATGCCCGGAGCCAACTGTAGGCCACTT